TAAGTTAAAGTATTTCTTTATTTCGAGGCCAGCCGCCATAAGAAAGCGCGGAGCCGGAGAGCAAGCCCCAAAGTGGGTTCAGACTCCTGGAGAGTCACCTGGGTTTTGCACGTGCCGCATCAGTGAGCGGCCTCGAAACTTGTATTTGAACGGTTTTACTATTCTTGATTGAAGATTGTACAACGGTTGAAAATTTCGTACAGATATGATCGTTGTCATGCATCTGGCAACACTGCCCCCCAGGGCTCATGAAGGGCTGGGGGACAGGCTGTGGAGAGAGGGCACCAGCAGCTTGGTTGTTTCTCTCCCCCCCCCCCTTTTGCTTGGTTATTAACATCTGCATTTTTAAAGGCGGCCCAGCCCGGCAACAGAAAGACACCAGGTTCCTTAGTTTGCAAGCCACAAAGCTTCTCGTGCTGCACCAAGACATTGTCTGCACTTTGTGTCCCAGGACTCTCCCCCCTCCCCCCCAACTCTGTAACAGCAGTCTTGGCGTGCTGGCAAAGCAAGGATTTGTCTGTACAATTTGCACTTGTAATCGCCAGCAGGAGAGGTCCCAGCTTTGCATGGGCAGAAGCTGTAGAAATTCATGGACCAGTCCAGGATCTGGCTCCTGTTCGGTCTCTGTTTCCATTTGTGATCCTTGTAATTCTTGTTCCCCAGGATCGAGTGGGAGCTATTGAGCACGGGAGTGGGGGGCACTGAACTTCCTACCCCTTAAATGCTGGTGGCTGCAAGGGGGATAGGAACAGTGAAGTGGAAACACCCTGGTTTTACCCAGTTCACTCGCCCTTTCAGCATCCACTCTGCCCCTGTGGGACAGGCCTATTCGATGTGGTGAAACATGGGCTTAGGCCCATCGCAGAATACTGTAAGTGTCTATTTGTAAGGGAGGGCACTGGGGACACACGCACTAATTCCAGGGATGAATGAAGAGGAAACAAGAAGGGGAGGGAGGTCATAGGTTAATAACAGGCCTTTCTGTTATGCCACTGGGGAAGAGTAGGCGTAGGCCCACCCAGGAAGATTAACAACCTTTGTTTAAGGAGGGGGCTACTGAGGACATAACAGTTGATTCCTTGGGACAAATAAAAGAAAAACAGGAAAAGGAGCAACGGTCATAGGTTTTAAAACAAGTGCACCAATTGGGGACGCTAAGCAGAGCACATGAGACAGTGCTACTTGCCCTTCAAGTGAGTGCAAAGAGCCAGTGAAATTTCTGGGAGACATGAACAGACATGAAAACATTCCTACAGTCCGCAGGATTCCTTCTGGCCAGAGCCTCCTTCCTGGTAAGATATACAGCCAGCTTGGCCAAGGCCACAGCCAGGAGGAAGTTGACCAGGAGGTCCCAGGGCTTGGTGGGGCCGTGGATGGGGAGTGCATAATAAACAGGTGAAGGGAATAGTGCAGCCAGATCCTCAGCTAGAGGATCTGAAGGAGGCAGTGCAGGGACTGCAGCCTGGCACACTCCAGGTAGGCATGCGCTGGGGTCTCCCTCTGATTAATGACAACAGGAGACTGAGCCAAATGGACCTATGGTCCGACCAAGTAAATGGCAGTTCTTCTCTTCTTACATGTTCTTAGCTGGCAAGAAGCTAAGAGCTAAGGATCACAAAATGAAACGAGGTGACAGTAAGTTTAAAAGTAACTAAAGGAAGCTTTTTTTTGCGCAGCATGTAATGAAAGTGTGGAGCTTGTTGTCCCCAGATGTTGTGGAAGCTGACAGTTTTGCCAGGTTCAAAAAGGGATTGGACGCATTCTGGGGGGCAAGGGGCATCAAGAGCTATCAAGCATGGGAGTAAGGGGTGCAGCCCAGGAATCAAACTTCCTAGCTTTTAAATTCCCATGAATCAAAATTTCTTAGCCCTTAAATGCTGGAGGCTGCAAGGGGGAGAGGAACCATAGTAAAACTCTGGTCGTACCCAATTCACTCTCCTTCCAGCATCCACTCTCTGCCCCTGTGTGACACGGGGCAAGATGGACCTGTGGTCTGATCCAGTCAATGGCAGTTATGTTCTTATGTTCACTGTCTTACATGATTTATGTTTTGAAATGGGGTGCATCTTACTTCGGAAAAGCTATGGATGCTGCTTTGAGTCTCTAGGGAGGCCTTGGGTCTAAAAAGCTTGGGAACTGCTGATCTCAAGCAGGGGTGTCAAGTTCATCTTGCAGGCAGCATGTGCTGGTCTTGGAACTCTCTGTGCTTGTGGCACATGGGGCTGGCATGACTGCATGCAACATGTGCCCTGAACTGATCCCCCTGTGCTACGCGCATGGTGCAGTGTCAAGTACAGCGCATGCACCCCGTGCAACATATGGGATCAGGAGCTGAGCATAAGGGTCAAGCCAGAGACCCACAGCCAGATCATAAGGCTCCATGGGTTGGATCCAGCCCACAGGCTGTATGTTTTATATCCCTGATCGAAAGGCTTCAAATGACAGACTGCCATGCAGCTTATTAATACACAATAGCAGTCTTAAATAAACTGGCAAGGCTAAGTATTCTTGGAATTGGGATAAAAATAAATCTGCTTGAAGTCTGGATACCAAGTTGATCTTCTTTAAAGACCTGCACACAAATTAAAACACCGGCTGCTGTCTTAGAGTAGGTGTGCAGGTGCCATTTTTATTTGGGGTTGCACTAATGCCTTTATTCTATGTGTTTCTCATTTCCTGCTCCAACCTTTCCAGTGTGGTCATTTTGAGACCAAACATTTTCAGATCTGTGATCTCTGCTGTCAATATGAATTTTTGGGAAAGTTTGAAGTAAAGCAATCCCTCTCTTTGAATGACAAAGTGTAGGGGAGGAGGAAAATAGTTTTCCCATTATAAAAAATGCTATAATTTTAATAGCCTTAACACCAGAACAGTTGAAGTTAGGAAGATAATGGCCCTTGCTCACTCTCACCCTCTTTTTTGTTTGTTTATGCTGAAGTAACCACTATTTTCCTTTAGTCTGATCAGTATACACAGCATGTGACTGGGGATGATTTACCTTTTCATCATGGCCTATAGGAAATGTAGATGTACAGCCTCATGCTGCTTTTTGTTTCTGTTATATTGCAGTGTTTGTGTTATCAGTGAGCATGTCTAGGCAAGATGCTTACTGCAGAGGCAAGACGCTTACTGCAGAGTTGACTAATTGACTGCTCAGTAAACATACAAAACTAATAAACTCCACAGCAGGGTAGTCTTGTAAAATACAAGACTACACTGCTGCCAAGTTTTTTTCATGTTCAGCAGCACATATGTAGACACTATCGTGGCCAGCTGGGGGACAGGGTGCCTCAGTGTGGGGCTAGTTGGCAGGCAGCCCTCACTGAGGCGCGCTGCACCCCAGCCAGCTGCTCTGCAGCACATGGAGATGTGAGCATGTAAGAACCCAGTCTCCATGTGCTGCAGGGGGCGTGACTGGGGTGCAGCACATGGAGGCGGGGGGAACAGCCAACCCAGGGTTGCTCCACAGTCTCCATGTACGGCAGAGTGGCTGCCTGGAGCACAGGCTTCCTCAGCATGGGGGCTATCTGCTGGCTAGCCCTGCACTAAGATAGCCTGCCCCCTTGCAGCACAAGAAGCCCTGCTGGAGCAGCCCAGGGATGGCAGGCTGACCCCTTGGGTCCCCTGCCAGCCAGGACTTATCCAACCAGGCTCCATTCAAATGGCATCTCCAGAATCAAAAAACTCAGGACCAATAAGCCCCAGAGTTTATTTGTGCCCCCTAATTGCACATGTAGACATGCCCAGTAAGGTCCCATTTGCTCTGACTTCACAGTCATAACTTGCAAAATCAGCTCCTGTCCCTGGGATCTAAGCATCTGCACTAAAAGAAAGGAAAGAGGTATTTATCCGTCTAGTGGCTTACATTAGTGGGAAATGAATGCAAAAGATTTTATGACTTTGAAATCTGAGGGTTAAACAAGTTGGGTAATGGTGAATTGGGCCTATTCTGCAGAGAATCTTCTAAAAGAGAGCCTAGTGTGACTGATGCTACTTGTATATACCTACATACAGGCAGCCTGAAACAATAGCAGAATGTTGCATTTCATGCTGCATAAACTCTAGATAAAGATTGAAGCCTACCCATGGTAACATCAGTTGACATTTAAAACTTTCAGTGCTAATCACAGAAGCACTTCAGCTTTGTAGTCATTGAATATCCCTGTCCCAAAATACAAAAACAGCCCCCAAGTACAGAATTGTACCCTGCCTCACAGCATGCTTCTTTTTCCTTGTACCTCTGTCAAATTTTTGCAAAAGGTTGCAACCCAGTTCTTCAGTGCACTAGAGCTGGGGTGGGCAAAATGCAGCCCGTGGGCCAGATGTGGCCCGCCAGGCCATTCTATCCAGCCCACAGGGCCCCTAAAAAATTTAGAAAATTAATATTTAGCTGCCCCTGGCAGCCTGTCATGCAACCCTCAATGGCTTACCAAAACTCAGTAAGCATCCCTCCACCCAAAATAATTGCCCGCCCCTGCACTAAAGGCTTAAATTGCACTGGGGTTAGCATAGTAACTGTATTATACATGAAAGTACAGGATATAATTCATTTATTTACACTGTTCTTTCTACTTCTCTAAAAATGCTTTAGAATTTCCAACCTGCTGCATCTTTGCACCCTGAAAACCCAGGGAGCTTGGATCAAAACATAGGCAAAACTAATTACAGAATATTTTGGATCTTGCATAATTAGTGAAGTACATGCTATGAAGCCCTGATTCATTCACTCGCTTATGCATCTCGTAAGGCCTCTGTCATTAAAATGTATGTGAGCTTGTGTTGAAAATTGTATTGAATTATTTCTTAGCAAGGAACTTATATTACCCGCATCGCCTGGGTGCCTTACATTCTTTAATACAGGGCTGCCCTGTGAGCCATGTACAAGGAGTTAAACCAAATATTGACAACTTTTTGGGGCAGAGTGCCAAAAATACCTGCAACCTTGATTTGTAAGATGTTGGTGTGCCAGCAGGGGACAGTGGGGGAGCTGTGAAGGGCCCAATGCTTCTTGTGGCAACACAGCCCCAGCCCCTTCCCCAAGGCATGAGTGCCAAGAAAAATGCCTTTGCATGCCACACTCTGACACACATGCCAGGGGTTGCCTACTCCTGAGTTAAACTGTGGCCTGCATGGTGGCTGGAACTGCTCTTTGGCAAGGCTCGAAGACCCAGGGGTTTAACCCACTGCTTGCTCCCCTGACCTTTTTACCTGCTGCTGATTTGGGGTCTTCAGTTTTGCTGGTAACTTAAATCAGCAGCAGGAGAAAAGGAGTGGGAGGAACATTAGTGTCCACTGCCTGAATTCTGGAGCTATACCAGCACAGTGACAGCTGTGCTTTAATATCATATCTTGCAATACTGCAGTGAGGTAGGGTAATGCTCTTAGTCCAGCTTTACAGTTGAGTAACTGAGGTGTTCAGAAGCTAAGTGATTTACCAAAATCTGTGGAGGAGCCAGGACTTTAACCCAGGTCTCCCAATTTCTAGATAAATGCCTTACCCCTAACTTCTCTTCCCTTTGAGAAGCAATTTGATCACATAACTAAATAAGATAATGTAATTGTGTGTATGCACAAGAAAGCAGAGTGAAGGCTTCAGAGGTTATCTTAATATCGCCATATCCCATCTCTTGAGTGCAAACTTCATTTTTCAGTATAATTGTTTTTTGTTGGAATGCTGTATAGAATTGTAAACTAATCTCTACCAGATTTTCTCTTGCATTTTCTGCTCTGTAAACAAACACGTACTTCTAAACCAACCAAACTCATTATTTTGGTAACTTAAAGAGTAAAACTGTAAAAGATTTTTTTCTTAAGTTTTATGCCTGTGTCTGTTTCTGTTCTTATGTTTGATGTGTACCCTTATTTATTCCACAGAGTACTGTCCATGATTTAACAGTGCACCAGGCAACTCCTGAGGACATAGTAAGTTTAAAATCTGTACAGTAAACTCTGGTAACCAGCACCTTACAATTCAGCATGGTCTGTTAACCAGCATGCCAGCTTGTAAGGAAAAGTGAAACTGTAAGTGGCCACCGTGGCACTTCCGGTTACTCCGAGCCCCCATGGCCTGGGGCAAAGCAGCTTACACTGCCAAGCCCCCACGGCCCGGGGGCATAACAGGCTGTGCGGAGCCCGCAGGAGGGGTGGCGATGCTGTGGGAGGGGTGGAGGGACGCCCCAGATGTGGTGGGAGAAGCGGCAGCCACAGCTGCTCAATTAACTGGCATATTTTGTTATCCGGCATCCCCCATCCCCCCACTTTTTTTAACCATGACAATTGTATCCAGAGCATCCTCCTATTTTTTAACAGTCCTGTTTTATGTAATGTCTTTAAAAGACAGTTTAACTGCCTTTCTGATATATCTCCTACTGTGTATATCTAGAATATTTTTCACTGTGTTGTGATGCACAGATTAAAAACTCCAAGGATAAGTCTTAGCTTGAATTTTAATGTAGAGTGTGTGATGTTTTTTTTATTGTTGTAAAAAACACTCATCCATTCACTGATACAGGGCAGATAAACAAAGTGCATATAATATATGTTTAACATAATATATGTTTATGTGCATCTCCTTCCCTTTTTGTTTTATGAAATGACTTATTGTTTTCGCCATCGTAGGTGACATTCTGATGTCACTGATATTTATCCTGACTTCCTGGGACCCAAAGCATGAGATGGTAACATTAAAATAAGAAAGTCTGTTGACCTTAACCTGCTGCCTGTAATAGTACTTTAGCTTATCCCTTGATTTTTGAACCAGGTTTTCTTTCATGTTTATGTAGTTGCGACGCCATGAGATACATAAGTCAAAGAATAAAGCGTTGGTGCACTTGGAGCTACAAGAGAAAGCACTGAAAAGAAAAATAAAGAAGCAGAGGCATGGGGCTCCTGATTCCCTGGACAAAAGGAAGTTGGCCCTCATGCGAGAGGTGAGGACCTTCAGCGTAAACTACTTGTTTCCCAGTAGCAAGAAGCAAATACTTTGCCACTTCCTCCTCTCCTCTACAAAGGATCTGTAATAGCACTGGACAGTTGTCCTCAAGTGCAGGCCAAAATTCCCTGCCCTGGCTGAATCCTCCCCCAAGTGGTGCTCTGTTACAGCTCTCTGTGCCCTGTCCTTTCTGTCCTGCATGTGGCACTGTACAGATTTTAGCAGAACTAAACTCCAAGCTGTGCATGGGACATGCATCCTATGCATGCTTCTCATCCTACCGCAGCTGCTAAATGCCTCCTTATTTAGTCAAAATGCAATAATTCTTATGCTTGGGGAGCCTCTGCACCTGCTATGGCTGGATTTATTTAAAGGAAAGAAGAGAGTGAGGAGGAGCAAAAAGGGAGAAATTCAGTGGGAAAAAATTGGCAAAACAAGGCCTGAGGAGTTGTAGTTCCTGGCAGGTGCTTTAGTAACAGTATTCAGCTGGGAATTGAATTTAGTTTTTTGCTGTTTGGCCCTGTCTTAAGCACTCTGCTAACATTATTGTGCTTAGTTCTGAGTTTTCAGTGCAGCCAGTTAGGACACACTAACTGAAATTATTCTCCTGTTTCCATGCTGAAAATTATTCCCTCTGCAAACTCAAATTGTACTACTCATTCACTTTCAGTCACCATCAGCAATTGTACAAATGACAGCTGGACTAGGCAAAGAAGGCTCTTTTTGCTGGAGTATGGTGTTGACAAGCAGTATACACCTGGTAATTGAGATCACTACAGCTTAGTAAGCCTGTCAATTTCAGGGTAATTACAAGAGACCTTCTCTTGCTCCTTTTACAAATTCAGCTGGGAGATTAAACATCAAGAAACCTGTATCTGATATCATCAAGATCATTGCAGCTTAGCACAGAAGAAAATTACTATATTTAAGATGCAGTGACATAACCTGAACTCTGTTTTAAACCCTGTTCTCTACAAATAAAATGTGTTAGCGAAAATATGCATATGCTTGGTGTAAAATTTTAATAAGCACCTGAAGCACTCAGATCTTCTCTCCAGATTTTTACAACAGACTGCCAAATACACGGTAATGAAATGTTCCAAAACAATTAATTCCTAGGCAAGTATACAAAATACCATAAAGTACCAAGTAGCTGGATAGGAGTGCACTGGGACCCATTCCTATTGCAAGGAAGAGTGTGGGGATGCAGTCAGGAAGGCCAACCGCACCTTGTCATGCATCCACAGATGCATCTCTGGCAGGTCCGAGGAGGTGATCCTCCCCCTCTGTGCGGCGCTGGTCAGGCTGCAGTTGAAGTACTGCGTCCAGTTCTGGGCGTCACACTTCAAGAGGGATGTGGACAACATGGAGAGGGTCCAGAGGAGGGCCACTCGCATGATCAGGGGGCAGCAGGGCAGGACCTACAAGGAGAGGCTACGGGACCTGAACCTGTTCAGCCTCCACAAGAGAAGGCTGAGGGGGGATCTGGTGGCCTGTTACAAACTAGTCAGAGGGGACCAGCAGGCACTGGGGAAGTCCCTGTTCCCCCGAGCACTACCAGGAGTGACTAGAAATAACTGTGACAAGCTTGCAGAGGGTAAATTCAGATTAGACATCAGGAGGCGCTACTTCACTGTCAGGGCAGCTAGGATCTGGAACCAAGTTCCAAGCAAAGTGGTGCTGGCTCCTACCCTGGGGGTCTTTAAGACAAGGCTAGACAATCATAGATTCATAGATTCATAGATTAAGGGTCGGAAGGGACCTAGTAGATCTTCTAGCCCGACCCCCCGCCAGGGCGGGAGAACAACAAAAAACCCCAATCACCTTGCTGGGGTCATTTGTCCCCAGTACTCTTTCCTGCCATGGCAGGGGGTTGGACTTGATGATCTGCTCAGGTCCCTTCTGACACTACTAACTATGAAACTATGAAAAATGCATTTGGAGGGAAGCAGTCCAGAAGGTTTTGAAGGTTGCTAGAAACATAAACTGCTCTCTGACTTACACAATTCAGAAATGGAAGCCTAATGATTAAGAAAGTGTTTTCTGTGAGTTTTTTTTTATTGTTCTTCTACCCCTTGGTGACTTTTCCGTTTTCCATCTTAATCTGCTCTCTAGGACGCCTCTTTGAGAGAAACTTTTTAATAAGTCTAGTCTTATATATACAAATGTATAGAAGAATAGCCACATGTTTATATGATTGTCATCACCAAGACATGCTAACAGCTCTAAGGAAGGAAGAATACAATCTACTGCCATTGCTTGCAATATCGGTACCCTCTGCTCTGCTGGAAGAAAGGGGTGTGGGAGACCTGTAGCTTAAGTTCTGTTCAATGGTGAATGGCAGAAGATTTATACTGTTGTGGATGATGAAGTGAACGTTCCCTCTGTCTTCCATTGCAGAGGTTGGTTAGTCTGTTCAGTTGTCTTGCTGGCCTTTCAGTCTGGTGCTGTGAGATCTTGCCTATCCCGGGTCCCTTGTCACTTCTCCATTTGGAGGGGGCAGAAATGAGATAAGGAAGAGATCACCAGTGTGGTTCCTTTCTGACTGTAGATCAAAGAAAGATGTATGATTTTTTTTATTAAAAATGGCAAAACAGTTGAATTGGGAGTGCTTGGTACAAGACACATTTTGATTTTACAGTGTCGTCTGGTTTCAGACTCTTACTGAGGAGGGATTGTAAATGCTTAGATAACACGATATGTCTCTAATAACATAAAACAATTAGATTATAAATATTAGTATATTGAGCCAGGGACATGTGTTTAGTGGGTACCTGCCAGTAGCAATGTTAGGACTAGTCTGATTTAATCATCTTTCCAAATGATCTGGAGCAGACAAAGTGGCATGTTAATGATGAGACTAATCTGAAGTTGCTAGTGAAGCCAGGGAAGAAATATGAAGAGGTCTGTATAGTAGGATAATATTATGTTCTTTTCTGCTTCATTCTAGCAAATGCTAACAAATCTGTGGGGAGCTGAAATACAAGGGCTGAGTGGGAGAGGGAATCTTGGGAAGCAGTGAAGCTGAAAAGAACTAGAGGGGAGGATGAAAACAAATAAACTAGGAGTTTAAATTGTCATTGTGGCTCCAAAAATGCTTAATTCGGGTTTTGTCTCCTTTTACAGAAGCTGCATGTCTTACAACAGAAAGATAATATTATACACACATTTAATATGTGGACACTACCTCAGTAAAAGGACAGTACAGTTGTAGTGCAGAGCAGTTCAGTTGAATAGTGGTCTGGAAGACCTGACTTGCAGGGTGAAATCAAAAAAGGTATCTAGTTAACACGTAGCCAAACTAAATATAAGGAAAGCTACAAAAGTATGCAGATTTAGTGTGATATATAACTAGGGCTCAAAATGAGCAGTATAATACAAGCTGGATAGATGGGGCAACACTTCTTGATTACTTACTGATTTGTATTTTTTTAAATAAGACTGATGGCATTTTTAGCAAATGTCCAGTATGGAATGGTTTGTTATTGGGGACCTTCAGTGAAGATGTCAGTTGCCTTTATAATAAGTCTTTATCCCTCTCACCCTATTAGATCATTCAGCCCAACTTTTATAATTAACAAGGAGTGTGAAGTGGAATTTTTTGATTAGTTGTGTGAGGAAAGAAGCAGTTTGTTTCTTTTTTCATTGGGCACATCTGAAGTGACGCTCGCAGTTCGAAATAAAAGCAGCTTCCCTAGATACACTGTCTATTTTATTGTGGTGAATTGGAACATAGAAGTATCTGAATTTCTCTCGAGCATTTAGAAATAAATGTCTTCTTTCCCAGTTTTTAGAAGTAATCACTTGCATTTTTGTTCATGGTTAGTTTCTGCCCAGGAAAAGACATTTGGCAGGAAGCCAACTCAGATAAGTGTTGTGCTTGCTTCTAAGCAGAACGCCCATGAGTACCGTCTCTTGCAGAAGTTAGCTGCAGCCCTATGGAAGGCTTTTTTTTTCCTCTGCGCTGAGATGATTAGGCCTCATGTAGAATATTGAATGCAGTTCTGGGTTTCTCATTTTAAGAGGGATTTGAAAGTTGCTGAGGATCCTGAAGGAATTGTAAAGCAAGCCATATGAGAAGAGGTTGGAAGAACAGGGCACATTTTAGTTTGAAAGAAAGGAGATTGATGCAGGGAGATGGGATAGCAGTTTTTACATATTTGAAAGCCTGCTATAAAAGCAGTTTTCCCCTGCTGTAGAAGGCATGATATGAAGAAGTGGGTTTAAAATACAGCAAAGCAGACTTAGATTAGATGCCAGGAAAGTTTTGAAACATCCTTCGTTGGAGGAGTTCAGAAGGAGACTGGATAAGCATTTGGCAGGGATGATTTAGTAATAATATTCCCAACTTGATGCAGAGTTTGAAGCAGATGAACTTTGGAGTCCGTTCCAACTCAGTGGTTCTGTATGTCTGTACCTCCCCATTTCGGATGACCTTTCATGGTTCCTTTAGGCTGTCTGTTGTGACAGGCCATAGTCACAGAACAAGTACATTCTTGGGAAGCTCTGGCCCTTGTTTGGGTAGATTCCAAATATTTGAACAAGAGTCTGTATCTGCTGGGGAAAACTAAAGTGATGTGCTAATAGCAACTTGTGTTGCTAGGTGCAGGCTGCTTCATTCTGTACTAGCTGGAGCCCTTTCAGGGTGTTGTGGCTTTATAGATTTGAGTTTCAGTAATTAAAGTTGAATGGCATGAATACCTGGCTCACTGTAGCCAGGTCTGAATCTCATCAGCTGGGCATCACCTCTTGGCATTTGGCAGATGTGGATGCTGCCCCAGCATTTTGGCCATCCAGTAGTTCTGAAGGCTTTAAAAGATCTAGATTGTTAGACTGGTTGTTACTCCTACCACAGTGATATTTAGTTTCAGAGGAGAAAAAGGTGGAACAGAGGTAACAACCAGCTTTCCTCTCAGTGTTGCCAGGTCTCAGCTTCACCTAGCCAATTCATCCAAGGGCTGATTGATTCTTCCAGGGCAGTGAGAGAGCTGAGATATGGCTCTGCTTAGCTGTGAGGCAAAGGAACTGTAAAGCCAAATGTTCCCTGGGTACTGCTAGCATGTTGATTTTTCTGTGACCAGCTTTCCTGACAGTTCTATCCTGATATTGAACAAATTGAAGGAAAAGATTAAATCTCGTGGGGCTCTAAAAATGGAAACTCTAGCCGCATAGGGCTAGCTCTCCATATAACTTACTGGGTTTAGTCTGCAAAATGACCCAAGTTGTTTCAAGGTATATTTGTTTATCATGTATGTAGCCTTTTTCCGAACAGAACTGTCTGGTGCTGCAGGAAGCAGCAGATGAAGATGGCCATGATTTGCTTATCAGCAAATTAGCAGTGCTGATTCATTGGAGCTATAAGGACTCTCTCCAGGTACCTGAGCTGTCCTAGGGTTTCCAGTAGTCTTCATCAAGTAGTAGCTAGCATACTTGGAAAATACTTTTTCTCCATAAGGCATCCGTGATGGACTTCATGGATTTTCCTTTCCCCTCCTGTCTCTGGAAGAAGAGCAAAGGACTATGGGGTTATCTTCCCTTTTGGTTACAACAGAATTAATTTTCAGACAGAGGATGATCTGAAAATTGATCTTACTTTCCTAGTCGCATCTCCTCTAGAGACTGTGAATCCTTTTGACAAAAAGGCTTACCGTGGTTTTCATAGGACTTATCTTGGATTTTTAAGAGGGGTCTTAGACGAGTACATCAGCCTGCATAAACCAGGAAAGGAGATAGAGGGTTACTGAGAGTTTGATTTTAACCTGTTGAGGTCCCTTAAGACCATCTTCAAGGTCTTGAACTAGGGAATTGTGATGAACTAGAACAGGCATTTCCCAACTATGGTATACACAAGACATCTCTGTGGGGTATGTGGGAGAAATTGTGTAATGGCAGATTTAATTTTCATTATAATAATAATTGGCATTTAAGGGGTTAAAATACAAGGTGTATGCTGGTAGGGGCCTTTGGGCAGCTGGTGAATGGGGAAGGGGTTTCACAATAAAAAAGTTTGGGAATCCCTATACTAGAAGAATGGTCCAGAGAATTAAATGTTCATAATAGCCTTTTCATTTAAGGATGGGGTTGGCGAATTTTTTGCAGAAATCGGAACTTCCACATCCAGCTTCCCATAATCTAAAGTAGGGGTCAGCAACATTTTTGGGCAGAGTGCCCAAAAAAATCCACAGCCTCAACTTGTAATATGTTGGCGTGCCGGGGTAGACGGCAGGGGAGTGACAAGGGGCACGATCCTTGTGGCAGCCCAGCACCGGCCACTTCCCCAAGGTGTGCATGCCAAGCAAAATGCCTTCATATGCCATGCTCTGGCACATGTGCTGGGGATTGCCTACCCCTGATCTAAACTGTTAGAGCAGGGCTGACCAACTTCAGAATATCTGGAGATTACACACTGCACTGATTGCAGACCCTGGGCTGCAAAACACATAGGCTGCATGCTATGGGGGCCCCAAGCTGCACAGGCTCCCCAGGACCCCCCACCATTTGCAGCTCTCTCCATCACTATATGAGCTTCCCTCTTGATGCTGCTATCACATGGGCAGGTCCCCTGCCACTGTGCTGTCCTGTCCCAAAGCAGAAGCAGCAGCAGAAGCAGTGGAGGGAGTGGTGGCTGGGTAGGAGCTCTTGGCTCACCCCTTTGAAGTAGTCTGCAGGCTGCCAATTGAACAATCATGCTTTAGAGGAATCTATGATGCTGACAGGTACCTGGAGGTTCTGGACACTGCTTTGTGCACTACTCATTTATCTTGCTGTAAGAAAAGAGAAGCTAGATGCTGGGTAGTTTGCATACAGGCTTGCTGCTGTTGAACAGCAATTCTTTGGTACTGGTTGAAAGGTTTCATATATTAGGCCACTTTTGTTGTGTTCTCATGCTGCTTACAGAGCTTATCTCTGGCTTACGTCCATCATTTGACATAAGCATTTCTCGAGTTGTAAGAAGAAAAAAGGATCAAGTCTGTTGTTGTGGGGGCAATAATAATAATTAGTTACTTACCATAAATCCTGGTTTTCTGACAGACACGTGTAATAATTCTAGTTGCTTTAAAAATTGGGTCTTTTGTTTTTTCTAGATTCTGACTGATGCCTCTCAATCTTGGGTGCAAGTTTGTACTGTACATGTAATTAAACCCTTATTTGTTGGCTGCTTATTCTGCAACTAACTGCTGAAAACAATGATACTCAAATCCCTCTTCATAAGCCATCTCCTCAACCTCATTTTGGGGAAATCTGTCTGTGCCTAATGCTATGCAATATCTCTTGTTCTGTGCTTCCCTTCAGATTCTATCTGACCAGTACCAGCTGCAAGATGTGTTGGAAAGGTCTGATCAGGCCATGGCTGTGGTGAAGGACCTGTTTGGGGATGCTCCTCGCAGACACGCAGGTAAATCATCTCCTCTGTATAAAAGGTTGTTTAAGATTACAACACTTGCTTTATAAATATAGTCTTGCTTCACAAGCTTGTACAAGGTATATTTTGATTTATTGGCTAGTTTTGTTGTTTTGGTAGGTAAGATAACACAACTGATCCTGTTAATGTAGGGCAAAGGAGAACCAACTCAAACAAAATACTATAGATCAGGATAAGACCTAGTGTGGGGAGGCAAATTATCCTATATCAGCCTCTTAGGGTTTTTACACATTCCCCTGAAACGTGCAGTACCAGTCACTCTTAGAGTTAAGATGCTTGATTTGAAGGATCTAAGGTCTGATTTGGTAGGGTAGATCATGTTTTATTGTCCCTGAATGGCCTTGGTGCGTAGTCTCGGCTGCCATTTATGGTTTGTCACTTATGTATGAATGAGGTTGTTCCCTTGCTCATGATCTACCTTTAGGGTATTGCCTTATCAAGGAGAATGGTGGGCTCCTTTGATTCAGGTTCTAGATCTTTATTTCTCTCTCTCTATAAACTGCCATTTCCCTTTTTCACTTTTAATTACCATTTGTCTTGGCATGAACACAAGTTTCCCTGACTACAGCATTATTACACTCCCAGGACTCTGTAATGTAACCTTGTGGCTGGTTGCTAGGAGTTACACAGAAGTGACATTCACCTTCCTGTTCACTTGCACGAACTGCTGCAGAAAGAGAAGGTGCTTACTTGCTGGTGGGGAAGTCATGAGATAGTGGTAGGAGTGGGACCAGCGGTAATGCCCTGTAAACAGTCTTTTGCTTGCCGCAAGCCCATTTGTGTTCTGTGATTTCCTGACTGTCTCTGTCTGCTTTAGGTTTCCCTAATGTAACCATGGCTCCAGACTGTGACCTGGAATACTTCCGAAGTCCCATTATACAAAAACGTGATCCTCCCACCCAGCTTTCCATCCTCAGTGAGTCTGTCATGGATTCCCAGGTAAGGTACTCTGTGTGTGGGCTGCATTTCAGGACAGCGAATGCAATGGCACTGTGTTATGGAGAGTTCTATGGCTGGTTTCATTCACACAGAAGTTAGGAAATTCGAAGTTAGCGATCTAAAGCAAGCTTAAGTAAGCTGTCTTGTTATGCTATGTGTAGTTTTAAAACTCATGCTTAACATTGCATCTACTTAGAAACTTACACAGAAGAGTTTATTTTGGCATGAATTCCCAACCTGTGTACACAAAGTATCAACTTTTATGTTGAATTACCCTGATTTCATTTATGTTACCCTATTTTTTAAATACAGAAGTTACATAGAACTGATTAACTTTAGATTGAAAGTGACTTCTGACCACGTTTAGTGGCCTGCATTCTCTTGAAAATACATGATATAAGCCACTAAAGACACTGTCAGCTTAGGCAGATAACCTTTTAAATCGTGCGAGTAGCCCTAGCATTTGCCTGGCTCAACGTGCTGTGGAGGGGTCTGGCTGTGGCATATTTCGGTGTATTAACTAACTCTGTGATAGGATGGTTCTTGTGTCAGAAAGTACTGCCCTATGGCAGAGTTAAATAGTTTACTGTGGCCTAATAGCACTGCACATGTAGCTGCTTTACTGAGGAGCTAATTAGTATTACAGTATCATAGTGCAAGGGACCTAAACAGATCATCAGGTCTGACCCCCTGCCCTGGGCAGGAATGGGTGTAGGGTCATATCACTCCAGTCAAATATCTGTCCAGCCTCTTCTTGAAGACCCCCAAGGTAGGAGAGAGCACCACCTCACTTGGGAGCCCATTCCAGAGCCTGGCGCCCTAACTGTAAAGTAATGTCTCCTGATGTCCAGCCTGAACCTTCTCTCTAACAATTTGTGGCCGTTATTCCTGGTAACCCTGGGTGGTGCCTGGGGGAACAGAGCCTCCCCCAGTTCTCGCTGGTCTTCCCTGGTAAGTCTGTAAATGGCCACTAGATCTCCTCTCAGCCTTCTCTTGTGGAGGCTGAATAGGTTCAGGTTCTTTAGCCTCTCTTCGTAGGGCCTGCCCTGCTGCCCTTTGACCATGCAAGTGGCCCTCCTCTGGACCCTCTCAATGCTAGCCACATCCCTCTTGAAGTGCAGTGCCCAGAACTGGACTGGGGAGGCAGGCTGACCCCCTGGATCCCCTGCCAGTGGGAGCTGTGTCACCCCAGCAAAATGTGCTGCAGTCCTGCATGCACATGTAAATGCTGCACGTTGGAGAAATAAACACCAGCACAAACTGTGTTGAGTTTTCAGATGCATTAATACTTTAATAGCTCATGTAGATGCACCTTGAGTGTACTACCTATCAGTCAAGAACTATTTCTAACTGCAGTTTTAGCAGGGCCTACATATATTGCATCTTGAACATTTAAAGTGAGCATTTTAAGTATTCTAAAAATTGTGAATAGATTTCAGTGTCCCTTTTTCCCCCTGATAACATGGACATCTTCATCCATACCAAAAATAGTCACTCTGGGTTGAGAACAAGCAGAAGTTTCTCTTCGAGATCTGCTGGTCAGAAAAGTTCAGTGGTAGCCAGTAGTGTTTCGGAATAAAAGTATTTCTGCTACCTAAATGTGTAGTCTTACTCTCATGAGTCTGTAGTAATCTATGTCATTGTATCTTGTGCATATACATAATTTAACATTTGTGCAAATCCAAAACTAGGTTCCCCCCACCATTCAGCACGGGATGGGGGGGAAAACTCCTCATCTTATATTTAAATATAAGTCAAGGAGAAGTGGGTATGTGGTGGCAGCAGCTCTGGCCCAGGATCAGGGCCAAACCTGCCACCACTGTAACTGCTGCTGCCTGGCTGGGCAGGAGCCAGAGGCAGCATGTACTCTGTGCCCCGGAACGGAGTGGGGCCCAGCCAGAGCCAACTGTGACAGGGAGGTGCCATGAGGGGGACCTGTATGGGGTGGGGGGGCAGATGCCAGGGGATGTAGGCATGGGGAGGTATGAAAAGGGTCCAAGTGGTCGGGGGGTGGGGAGGCAAGCAGGGGGAGCAAGTGGCAGGGAGGAAGGTGCAGGGGGAGCACAGGGCCTATGGTAAGAGGCAGGCATTGCAGGGGGAAAGGCAGCAGGAGGGCAAGTGGTAGTTTGGATGGGCTGTGGTCAAGCCACTTGACTCCCCCACTGCCTGCCCGCCTGCTGCTGCTGCTTGTCTTGCTGCAAAGTTGGGATGGACAAATTTAAGATTAGATTCATGGAAAAGTATAGCAAATGTATAAATTTTCCATGTCTAGAATCTAATTATTGGGGGAGTGTCTTAAATTAAGAGTCATTTTGGATTTGGGTAAATAGGGTATTATAAGTTGTATGCCAGTACTGCTGTACCAGTCAGTTTTCTTTACAGTTGAGGTATGAGTTTCCTGGATTTTTCTTCAACATCTTTGACTTGAATGCATGGTATATATTATCTCTGCTTGCATATGATATATGCTGAGTTTCTCCAAGGGAAGATAGTTGCCCAGCCCTTAATGATATCCTAATTCCCAAAAATACCAGCCAGAAGTCCTGGTGTAATGTAGACGCACAAGAGTAAAGCTATAATATTGAACTAAGCTGCCTCAGACTTGTCCACAGTGAAATATCACTGTGGTAACTCTTATCTCTTTTGCACATGATGGAAATGCAATTCATTTGTGTCTTAGGTACAAGTTCATTAAAATCATGAGATTTAGGTTGCAGAGTTGGGCATTTGACAGTTTAGACATACTCAAATTAAGGTTGTCAGTTTGGTCTGTCTTGTGCACTGTGTGTATAAGTTAGGCAGTAGTTCTTGATTGCATGACCACATGTTGTATTTTTATGGAACACCTACTTCATTTAATGATAAGATGGACAGCAGTCAGGGGATGAGGCAGCTGCTTAATATTTCTTTTTATCCTTTTTCTTCAGTGTGTGGCCATTGTTATCATCACTGCACTCCATGCAAAGCAAGCTCTGATTTACTCATTTCCTTTGCTTGTTTTTGCGGGTGCATTGCTATAGTAATGGAGTGCTTCACAAATATTAACAATCTTATCTCCATGTTCACGCTCTTAGATGCATACTTTTATACAATATTAGAGGTGGGAAAATGAGGCAAAAGTATGTTCACTTCCCCTGCTTCTTTCCCAAAAGAGGGATTGAACTTGCTCTGAGATGGTCTCTGTTGGATTAATTTTTTTTTATTTTGTTTGTTTGTTTCTGCTGCAACAGGCTCTCAATGAAATAGAAGGGGAAAGCTCCTCCACTTGTCATTCAGGGGACAGTGCAGACGAACAGAATGAGTTTCTGAACTACAAGTCCAGCATTGACACAGACAGGTCAGTGTATGTGTCCAGGAATGTCTTAGAATTTCTATCTTCCTAGTGTTCACATAACACAGGTAGGTAACCAAATACCTTCGTGTCCCTTGTGCAGAGGTTTTGTCATAAATATCTATAAAGCTTCTACAGTATCTTCCTTCAAATGTTTCTTTAAAAACTCACCATTACTTCAGTTTCTTCAAAAACACTTAGGGTCAGATCCTATTCCACCTGTTACATGCTGGAGTGCAATCCTATTCTTCCCTGCTCAAGTTCCTGAAAAAGGGTTAACTCACCTACCTTGGTTACATGCCATCACCTTATCCTTCAAATCATGCCATTAAAAGTAGCAATCGGGAGGAGGACCCATTTATGCTTTGCCTTAACTGTCTTTCCAGGAATCAAGCAGTGTGGAATAGGATGACACTTGGGTACCTGTAGATGTGAGAGGATCTGGGCCTTAATATTGGCAAGGCGTTTGACATGTCATGACTTCTAGTCATTATACTACGTTGTTCTGTGTTCATTTGTGCTCCTCCACTGTCTCACACTTGCATTGTTGGCTTTTGGGGCAGGTGTTCTTGCTGTGTCATGTATAATGCCTAATGCATCAAAGCCCTACTTCAGACCTTTTGGCACTACCACAAGACAAAAGCAATAGGTGGAGTTGCAGAATTGTGTGGGTGGGCAAAGTCATAAGAGTAAGTAAAACACTTGGAGATGGCAGTTTTAAAGGAATAGGGATGGGAGCAAGAATGGGTCTCTGTGGGACCCCACTAGACTGAAGCAGAGTAAAAAAAAAGAAGTTGTGATCAGATTGACCCAAAAGAAAACAATTGTGAGTTTAAAACAGATTGTACATCAAGAACAGGGTTATCAGCCACCTTGACTGGGGCAGAAATGTCAAATACAGTGTGGATGGGATAGGGCTTGGTTATGGAATGATTTATTTTTTAAACTTCGAGGTGTTTCATGGTAATGAAGGAACCAGAAGTCAGATCCCAAAAGATTAAGAGTGGTGCTTGATTGAGGGACCTTGAAATAATAATTGTGTACAACAGAGTCTGTTAACCTAAGCTGGGAAACACAAAAGGAAGATGGGGTAACAGTCAGGCCAGCAAAGCTTAGACATTGTTTTATTAAGGATGAGGATTGGGGGAGGTGAGAGGGGCTGAAGCATGCTTGTACCTAGAGAGGAAACCCCTTTGGGGCAAAAGCAAAGCACCTCAGGAGGTAGGAGGAAATGGGTAAGTGAAGAAAAAGAAGCATAAGACCTGGAAGGGAGGTATAAGAAATCGGAAGAAAAGGAATTGGAAGTAGAGGGAGGATAAACAGGGCCAGAGGGAGATCACAGCAGACCTTGTTTTTTCACACATCAGACCAACAGCAGAATCTTTGCCCTGAAGATCTTGCCACTAACATAGAACCTCAAATTCTAGAAGAAGAGCTAAATTTATTTCTTATGTTTGCTTATATGAACATAATTCTGCTGCAAATCGCACATCCTCTATGTACATCATTTATCACATAACCTGTTAATGGTTTTTTTAACTTTAATTAGTGACTTGGATTTAGACTTCTGTGGCATATAATTGGAGGCTGAAGTTGAAGAGTGCGTATGTCTTAGAAATGCTACAAGCAGAATAGGTGTTATACTTGTTTTGTTTGGTAAGATAAGTTTTCAAGCAGTTTGGGTAATATTTACCTGTGATCTCACCCACATTTTAATGGTCTGATTTTGCTGTAGCTGTATTGTATATATGATGAATGTTGTGTGTCAAGTTCCAATGTGATTTATATAGACTTGTTTCCTAGGTTGCACTCTCCCATTAGTGGTGCATTCACTTTAGCAATTTAGTATTTTTGAATCTCTGTTGAGATTGGACTGGTGTGCAGTCTCCACAACATATGTCTGAACTGACGCAGTGCTGCATTAGAAGGATCCTATGTTTGCAGGCAGTTAAGTGTTCATGTTTGGACATTGTGGGTTTTTTTAATTAGTAAAGTACAGTGAGAGAGGTATTTTCTAGGATTTGGGTTTTGCATTAAGAGGAAACTGGTTTGAGCAATCTCATTTTGACACTTTTTGTGCAAAAAAGGTTGGTCCATGTTGCTGTCACTTCAGAGTTCAGTACCCCCATAGTTTTCTTTGTTCTTATTTTGTATGTAGGCTTCTCTGTTTACTGAAAAAAGAAAATTCTGTGGAAGCCTCCCAGCTGTGGGCTGATGAGAAAATGAAAACAGCTACCCCATCACAGGAAACAAATGTACCTGTCACTCCTACGACTGCTTCATTGCCTTTGGAAGACACAGGTTGGATCTGGCAGGATGTTACCTTTCAAAGGGCAGTAGGCCATTAAAAGGATCCTATTCAGAATAAAATGCAGGAGGAGGAAATGGCACAAGTATAGTTTTGGAGATCTAACTGGGTTGGGTTAGCAAAGTAAGGCACTGGCACTTTAAATGTGTTTTATATTGAAATATTTTGATACATTAATGACACTCATAAAGTACCTCATGTTATTTGTTGGGTTTTTTTTTTATCAGCCCTCAATGCTACTAATGTGGTCAGGAGAATCCATTCAAGGCTTCAGAATGAGGAGCAGCATGACGAGCACGCTCCAGACTCCCCTTACACTGCAAGACAAGTGCTGAACCCTAACCCAAGGAAGCACAAGCAAGCTTCAGGAAAAGGTTTAGTTTTTACCCTCTGAAGTAATTTATGGTTGAAGCAATGTATTTGCTTTTCCCTTCCCCCAGTGTCCCTTGAAGCTCTGATTGAGATCCTGCTTTTCATTTAATGTTACTCTTTGATCTTCAGCATTTACTGGAGTTAGTTATGCTAACTTTATGAAAGTAAAGGAAAAAAACTCATCCCATCTGTTTTCCTTGGTTACAGCACATACTTCACTTGAAGTGTTACTTTCAGCTCTGTTATTTCATAAGGTTATGAGATTTCAGTAGTGTCTCTGTAGTGTAAAACATATTGTTGCTTAATCTTACAGCAAGACTAGAATGCCTGTTTCTTACCTTCAGGTTAGTAGTTAGCCCCCACAATAATAATGGGGAGGACAGTTGAATTTTTAACTACTGTTATTTTTAAAAAATATTTAAAAATTGAAACTTTGGCCCTGACAATGTTGTGTGAGTTGAGGTGGGAGAATGGTGTTTTGCTCGTGTTTGTTTAGGGCTTTTTCATTTAGTTTTTTCTTGGTCCATATCTCACCCCTTAACTCCTCCTAATTCCTCTCTCTCAGAGCATACATCGATAGGGCACTTCTGAAATCTGTGCATAAAGAATGCTCCCCTTACTCCTCTTGACTGAGGTAATTTCTATAAAGTGACTGGCTAGGAAACCAAGTCCTTATGCATTAATAGCTTGGTGCACATGACCTGAGATCCATGTGATGCTGTTATCTGGTGCAATGCCACAAGGAGCTGACTGTATGCAATTGCTTCTGCAAACTCTTCCTCTGACGTGCTGATTTGGTCACCCTGGAACACCACATCACACACTATGGGAAAATAGCCAGATTCAGGTACAAACATGTTTGAACTGTCAGGGCCATGATGTGCCTGCCATATGTTTTGAGACTCTGGGAGATTTCAGTCTTCTTCAGCAGCAATTCCAGTCCCGTGGATTTGTTCAGGTTTGTCAGACCAGAACTGTTTCTTGACAGATCATAGGTAGCTTTACAGACAGAGCAGATACCTCCAGAGTAGAGCTGGTAGTTTGGTTCTAGACACAATTTAAGCTGCAGGTCCCATCCTGCCCCTTTGCTTTACTCTTACTCTCTGGTTTGCAGAGGAATCTCAGACTGATGTGCCTGAAAAGATCTGTTCAGCTTGACTCCTGCTAAAGTTTGTAGCAAGGGGCTGTAAGAGTTTGGTGGATGTAAACAGGGATCCTTCAAGCTGCTAACTTCACTGCTGATATATTTCTATATGGCTGTTTCTATGCTTTCCCTAGTGCCTTTTTGTTTGCTGCTATGATGATCTTTGATCTGTTTAGGCACAATTTAGTGGCTCATTTCTTAGTGGTATATGGGGAATAACATTACTTGGGCTCAACAAGTATAAGATGCTTGTTGTAAACCTGCCATGTGACAGAAGAACTGGACCTATAAACTGTGTTAATTCTGCAAGGGCTCCCCAAAATGCATGTAGAGGTCTCCTTTCATATACCTAGGATGTGAAGGTAATTAGTTAGTTGCATGTTTTCCTTGTCCTTGGTACTAGCAAATAATTCCAAGTTTTTGCAAGAAAGATAATGTAAACAAATGTTATAGTTGGGTGCTGTTTTGAAGCAAAGATTAATTGTGAACTGTAAAAAAGCAACTGGAATGTAAAAGTATTCTGTCTGTTTTTCTCTCAGTGAAAAGAAAACAAACTACACAGATACCATCTAAGCAAAAGAGGAATGATTGTCTTTCTAATTCAATCACCCTCAACCTCCCAAGCAATAATACATCCAGCTTGGATATCCTGAATCACATGATACGTGACGTAGAGAATGAGTTGGAGGAATACGAGAGATGTACAGGCCGCGAGGTCCAGAAAACACAGAATTGTCAGGGTCTCACTGGGTTTACTTTGTCACTAGTGAATGCTGTCTGTCGTCTGATGCGCTACCTCAAAGAGGTGAGAACACTTTGAACTGCTCTGGGAGGTTAGATGAATTAAACCAAACATTTTGGTTTAATTTACAACCTTAATTTTTGTAATCTCTTGACTCTTGAGTACATCATTTTGTAAACTCAGTATCTTTAGGAGTTTTGGATTGTTTGTAGTTTTAAAAAAATTTGTAATATTGTTCATTCAGGATAGACTGCTGTTGGTTCTTGGGAGAAACTGAGGCACTTTTTAAGTAAAACTTTAGATACGTATTCAAAATATATGGTGGCATTTTTAAATATAGTCTTAGATTCTCAGAGTATTAGGATTCAGATCCTGTAATTCACTGTCTGGCAGCCTTTCAGGGAACACCCCAGATGCTACACCTGCTGTGTCTAGGGCAGATACAGTCTAGTGGTCCTTTTTGTATACAAGGCCTCTTTAGGCTCTCACTCTGTCCATACAACATTGCAGTGAGGACCTCTCTATGTTTGTCTTGGGCTACATCCTGTCACACACTTGTTGAGCAAGAGCAGTAAAATTTAGTAGGAGAATCGAGGAGGCGCATCAACTGCATGATGCTGAACATGCTGAAGATGGCACTGATACCACTCCCCTCTGATACCACTCCCCTCCCTGTGACCAGCATGAACCACAAGATGGCAGTGGCCTACATCAGTAGAGAGGGAAAGGTTGTAGTTCTTCACTGCAAGTGGAAGGGGCCCTACTTAATTCTTCATGTGATATTGTGTGGTCTGTGGTATAGTCTTTTATGTCAGAGATTGTTTATGAGTAGATCCTACCCTTTGAGGTGAGGGAGATAGGGACAACAAAATTCTTTGCCTTGGAATGAGGTGCGCCCCAAGTAGGCTTGTTTGTGTCCAGTAAAGAAACTAGAAAATAGGAACAACATAAATCCTGTTCTAAACCCTCTGAGAAAAAATAAAACAAAACTGTAGGACCTGCCTTTGGTCCAGTATCACTCCACAAGGCCAGGAAGATTAGGGTATTGTCATGTGCCATCACCATTACATTGACTTTTTGCATGCTGTAATACAGTATGGTAGAAGGTATGCAAAGTGACAGTTTGAACACTGCCAGTAGTTCATTTGTTTTGTTTTGTTTTGTTTTGTTTTTTAAATCATGGGGAAGGAAGCATCAGGAGGAGGTCTCTCCAGATGTCAACTCCTTGTGCTGTTGTGGGAAGGTGACAATAGCACAAGCAAAGCAGCATCAGGTTGAACATTAGTTGAAAAGTCTTGGGGCAGAAAAGCTGGTTCCATTTTAACAATGGCAACAAAAGCAACGATCAACTTAATAGCAAGATTTAAATCTCCTCTCAGTTTTTACATGAACTTGTATTGAGTGTGCTTTCTTTTCTTCTCCTTTTCCTCCAGAGTGAGATGCAGCTGCGTCAAGAAGTGGTGATGAAGCAGAAGCTTGAGGGGGTTCTGAATGAACACAGAGAGTTGATTGATGCTCTGACAGCTGAAATCCTTTTAGTCAGGGAAGAAAGTATTGCGACACAGGTACTAAGAGTTGTTGACTCTTTCCTCTCATGACAGCTCATGGAACTTAGGGAAAAACTAATGTGCCAAAAGTTTTTAAGCATTGTTGGTTGTAGCCATGTTGGTCTATGGACATAGGCAGGCAAGGTACTTTGGGCAGATGTGGTATCTTTTATTAGACCAACTAAAAAGTTGGAAAAATGTTCTTTGCAAGCTTTTGGGCACAAACACCCTTCTTCAGGCACAGGGAGATTCTGCTGGTGTTATGTGTTCTCCAAGGTAGAAAAGAAGCTAATTTGCAACATGCAGGGCTATGAAAAATGCAAATAAGTAATAGTTTGAAAGACAATGGGTAGAGTTAGGAGGGGAGGAAGAAAATAAGGGAAATGTGTGAAGAAATGTAGCTGATCAGCTGCAGCCAGGTTACCTGGGGTTATTAGATGTCAGGTAGGTTGTAATATGTCATACATCCAAAGTCTATAATTAGTTCATGATTTTTTGTATCCAGTAGATTTATGAAGTGAAGTTAGTAGGCTCAACTACGAAAGATGTTTTGTAAATTTCCTTTGAGTATTAGAACTGAGAGATTGGAAAGTGATTGTCTTTTCAAAAGTATGCACCCACAGGTAATTGGATATTTTTGTCTTTGATGGATTTGTGGTGTGCGTCCGTTTTGATATGCAGTTATTGTTTGGTTTCTCTTACATATTTTCCATCAGGGTATTTAGTGCACTGGATAAGATTCCATTCAGTGTACTTTGGGGCCATAGGAAGTTTGCTTCTGGTGATGAGGTTAGTGAGGTTCAGTGTTTGTTTAAAGGCTAGACTGGGTGCTGCTGGAAAGATCTCTTTAAGAATTGGGTCTTCTAGTATGGGTTGCAGTTGTCTGAGGATTCTCTGTATAGGTTCCAGGGAAGGATGATGTGTCATAACTAATGGTGTGCAATTCATGGGGATTTTCTTTTTATGCTGCAGCAATTCTTTACATGGTATCCATTTAAAACATGCAATCTATCTCTCTGGAGGAGAGTCCTTATTGGGTGAAAGACTTTTTGAGATTTGAGAGATGACGATTGAGGATATTCTTCTAAATGCAAATTTGGTGGTATCAGAGAGCTTGGCTGTATATTACAGATTTTTTGGTGTGTTTAGGGTGATTACTGGTTCTGTGTAGTATGTGAGTCCATGGATTTCTTGTATATGGTGGTTTGTATCTTACCATTCTGAATATTGATCATGTCTAAAAAGGAAATGTTGGTGCTGGAATATTCAAGAGATAGTCTGACAGAGGGGTGATAATAATTGAATTTGTGATGGAAATCAATCCGAGACTGCAGGTCTTCAATCCAAATGATGATGTCGTATATATATCTTAGGTATAGCATGGATTTGATGGTGCAGTTCTTAAGGAATTCATCTTCCAGGTGGGCCATAAAAAAGTTGGCATATTGTGGGGCCATTTTGGTGCCCATAGCTTGGAGGAAGTGTTGGTTGTTGAAACTGAAGTTGTTGTGTGTGAGGATAAAGTGTATAAGTTCACTAATATCTTGAGGTCTTTCTTTGAGTTGTAATCTTGCTCTTGTAGATATGTAAGGCAGGCATAGAAAGTCTGTCGTGTCTTGGATAAAACGGGGTCCTTGGGTGACAAGGGGTCTTAGGATGGATTCAGTGAAACCTGATATTTCTGCAGGGTTCCATGGTTGAAAATTATAGGTCTGCCTGGGTTCCCTTGTTTGTGGATTTTAGGGAGCATGTAAAAAAGTCACTGGACTGGGTAGTACAGGGATCAGGGTCTGAAGGTTTTTCTTACAGTTTCAGTAGAAATGATGTGATGGTGGTTTTGAAGTGAAAAGGGGAGTTGGCTTGTCTTCTGATTTTTTCATAGTAGATGGTGTCAGAGAGTTGTCTGTTGGCTTCTTTTATGTAGTCTTCATGGTTAAGGATAACTATAGATCCTCCTTTATCTGCTGATTTTATTACTGTTTGGTGGTTGGATCTTAGAAATTCTATGGGCCTTCTCTCTGAGAGGGAGAGGTTATAGTGGTGTTTGTTGTTGATTATTTCATTGTTTGTTCTTTGTCTGAAACAGTTGAGGTTTGAATTTGAGGTTTGAATTTCATCCGCTGTAAGGTGTCCAAAAGTTTTTAAGTAGATTCTTCATTTCTTCAGTGAGACTTGTTAGAATAGCAAACTGCTGCAGATCTCAGGTGAGATACATAGTAGCACTGAAACAATTTGATGGAATTACATATGCAATCTTAGGACTGAAATCAGAGGTGGTTATTTTAGTGGATTATGTAGAAATGCAACACTTACCAGGAGGAAGAATCTTTTGAGAAACTTCCTTTTAAAATGTGACATAAGCAGACTTAGTGTAACTTAGACTTTCTTTAATGTAAAGCTTTGTGCGGAAGAAAGAGGGTGATTGAACAGCAAAACTGTTGAACTATAGGGCTGGGTGGGAAGGAAAGAACAAGCAAATACAGAAATGTTTTCCTTCCACTTCACTGGGACCAGAGTGAAGTGCTGACACCAAGGGTGGGGGTGGACTTCTGATTGTTACAATGATCTGTTTTTCCTCTCCCTAGGATACAGATCTCTGTACTTTTGTTTTGGTTTTTTTCCCCTTAGAAACAACTACAGCAGTATATGGTGGTAACAGATGAACAGCTGACTTCACTCACTTTAGCATATAAAAGCCTCCTTTTGACAGATCCTAAGAGAGGACAGAGTCCAAGTAGTCTTGGAATTGCAATCAGAGATCCAACAAACATCCAAGGTATGTGTGTGTGTTGTGGAGGAAAGAGTGGGGAGCTGTCATTGAATTAGAAACATGAGAATTCTAGGCGCATTCTTGGAAATTGCCCTCACCCTTTTGTCAAAGCAGCAGTTCAGGATAGCTGGTAGTTTATGGTCCAGAAGAAGGGCTGAGCCTTTCACTTATTTTTCAGAATTCCTTCCTAATATTATAAAAATCATTTTACTGCTAAATTGGTCTTCTACTTGCAAAGTCTGATTGTTCCATATAATCAAAGTGCAGTTTTATTTTTTTATTTTTTGTCATCTTGCCAGCCTAGATTTGGTGTTAAAGGGAAAATGCAAAAGTCTCTGGAAACGGCATCTAAGAGTTACCTGCTGCTAACTAGTAGAGTTGTGTCTCAGTTTGGGTGTCTGTCTGGCATGTTGCTGAAGCTGTATCTGCTTCTTTCCCAAGTCCAAGGAAAGGCATTTTGTGTTGGAGAGCTTGTCCAGCATCTCTCCCAAACAAATAGTTGGTTTAGCAGAATACTAAACAGTCTTAACTCTTGCAAAGGGTTGGACGGGTCAGAACAGCTCTGAGTGTGTTGAGGTTTTTTTTGATTTTTTTGATTTTGTCACCCTCAGTCTTGCAATGCAGTTGGACATACCCAGTGACCACTTAGTCTATAAAATATTGACTGGTTCTACTTACTCCTAAGTGTGTGTATTACTGTTGATGCCCCTGTCTCTATTCCAAGCACCGCATTTGTCCATTGCTAATATCATTATACCAAAGGGTCTGGGCAGGAGTGGTGTTCCAAACAGCTGCTTAGGTAGCAAGAGGAGTTTGCTATAGTTGGAACTGTGAGGGTGGATGGAGTGTTAAAATGAAAGAGGATGCCCAGAATGAAGGAGTAAAAGTTTGTTTTGCTGTTGCTTTAGATCAATGTGGGGCAGTTTTGGCAGGTGAGCCACAAGGTAAGCCCCACATCCTCCCCAAGTACCATTTTGATCCCCTTCCCTTGCCTGATCCATTGCTCTGCTTTCTGTCCTACACACACAGGCTGTCCTTGCCACTTGTGGCACATGTGTCATAAGTTGACCACCCTGACTGTCATTTGTATAAGCCTGGAAAAATAACATGGGAGTGTGTGTGTGATCTGCTGTTTTGGCTACCAGTGTAAAAATGAAACTTCTTCCTGAACCTATACAAGAATGGCAACTGTGGTCAATTAATTTGGAGTTGATTTGCAAGGTTTTTACAAAGAAGGCTATGCAGTTCAGAATGACAGAAAATACTTGTTTAGTACTACACGTCTGTATAAACCAACTAGTTTCACCATGAAAAGCCTGCTCAAATAGACTTACCTGTATGCTTATAGTTTGAATGACTGACAATCACCTGCTTGGGCAGAGCACTGTACTGTGTGACATTCTTGGGATCAGAGTGTTAAATTTTCATCTCGGAGATAGAAAACCATTTCTGAAATATTTCACTGTGTGGTAAGGTTTTGTAACAACCTTTCCAAGCCTATTTGTGGATCTGTTATTCAGACAACAATATTTCACTTTGGATGGTGTTTTCCCCACCATGTCTTCAGTCATCTGAAACCTGGAATTATTCTGATGGGGATATTTTTTCTGTTTTGCAAGCACCAACATGTTTTATTTTTGATGCACCTGATTCTTGCCTTGTTTTTCTTTTTGTTCAGAGAGGTCTGTTTTGAATTCCACTCTGCCCAAGACTGATGCTTGCAGAGGAAATATGCTCAAATCCCCACAAGAGGAACTGTCTGTCCAGCGTCCTCAGTGGTCAAGTCCCCCAGACACTGTAGGAGTGGGCAACAGTTTGCCCATGCATGTGTTCCAGCCAGCTGTGTTGTTATCACCACCTAGACAGAAGAGCATCCAGGAATTCTCTCCTCTTCAGAATGGTAAGATAAGTGTCTCTCTGTGAACAGGATGAGATAAAAACATAAATATCAGACTGAGTCAAATCATAGGTCCATCTAGCCCAACAGCCTGCCTCTCACAGTGGCACAGAGCAGATCCTCAGGGGAAGAATGTTTATGAAGGACCTATCCAGACTGAACTGCCCTCTTCCTCTCTTCCCCCAACAGCTTCCAGCATTCAGAGGTGCTGAAGTCTTAATTTGAGGATTGCACCCATATCTGTCAGTACTTATTGATGGATCCATCCTGCATAAATTTATCCAGTCCCTTTCGAACCTGACTAAATTGCCTCTACAACACCTTGTGGCAATGAGTCCCACATGTTAATTTTTTGCCTATGTTGTTCCTTCTTTCAACTTGTTTAGTCTTGAGCCCACAGTCTAATTCTGCAAGTCTGTTGTTTGGACAGGCTCTGCCTTTCCCTTTGAGAAGCTGCCTGGCATCTAAATCTCCTGCTTTTGTAATGGACAGTGCATTTCTTTCTTTTCTCCTCTTTGCCAGTTCCTGGTGTTTGTTTTGGTTGCCATATGTCTCTCTACTTCCACTTAGCACTGCCTTGCAATTCTCCTTCTGCTCTCTGCAATAGAAATTGCCACTTAATCCTTAAAAATATAGTCTTTGAATATGGCCTATGCACAAGGAGTCAGTAAGAATTTTAACTGTATGGCAGTCCGTAGAGTCTGATTTTTTTTTTTTGTTCGAATTCTTAGGTAGGATTAGTATCTAACACAGGTACTAAACTTCTCAAAAGCCCTTCTTTTAAAAATCGTTCACTTGTACACAAACATATTCACTTGTAAATTCTCAGGAAAGTTGCTTTACTCCCAGAGAGCATGCATTGTTCATTGAGAAGGGTTTGCTACCCTATATGTTTCATATGTAACAGAGGACCCTGCTTTAAGTGCCACACCTAATTCAGACGTGATGGTGGAACAGCAGTTGGTGCTCCCATTGTATTTGGGCACCTATACGTGAGCTCAGAGGCTGCTCCAATGCACTAGAAACTGACACTCCAGCAGCCTCCTGTGTCTCATGTACCAGCACCCCTCCGCTTAAAAATAGCGGTGGGGGTGCTTGAACTAAAGCCCATTGAACAAGCTTTAGTTCAAGAGCCCCTGCCACCATTTTTCAGCATGGGGACACTGATACTTGAGATGCAGCAGCGCTTTAATTACAGCAGCTCTCAGAGCTGCTGTAATTAAAGCAGTGCCCCTGCCCACCCCCAGAGCATGTGTAAAACTGCCCTATGTGTCTCCTGTACACACCAGTACTGTAATGAAAGACAAGACGAAATAAAACCTTGTTCCTTTTTCTTTTGGGGGCAAAGCAGACACCCAAATTGAGATCTGCTTCTGCTGGCTTAGCTGCGAGTAACTTGCATTAAACTACCTCCAGATTGGGTTTTTTTGCATTTGTTTCCGATATCAGTTTTAGGTTGGGGCATGGTGGAAGACTGAATCAGCAATGAAATAATTAATTGAAAACTGTCAGCTGGCATTGTGAACAACTGAAAAGCTCAGCCCTTCTCCTCTGATCCTCTGCTAGTTTTTAAACCCATGTAAATGTTAAATTATTTCCGCTAATCTCTCCTGGAAGACATTAACCAGTGGTGCAATGAGTCTGTGTGGCAGGATCTTGAATAATAGTACAGCTGAATAACTCTACTTGTATCCCTTTCCAGAGGTGGGTATTAGATGTCACGTTATTTTTTTTCTGCTGCTTTTTTATCTAGCACTGATTTATCAAGTGAAATTATCTTGTTGAAGACCACATGTTTACTGATCCTTTATTTCTCATCTGCAGCACTGAACAGAACAGTTCAAACACATTTTACCTCCCAGGTCTCTCCATCTACCCAGAACACTGAAAGGAAAGCAAGTGGGGAAAAGAGCTCACCTTCCTCTGTGGGAACACAGAGCACAGATGGGGAGAACCGTCTGCTCATCCAAAGGTGGCAAGTTCCTCCCACATCCAAGGACTCTGAGAGTTCTTTGCAATCACATGGCCAGCCAGTGAGCAGTATCTTCTCTTTGGAGCAGGGGCAGGCCCCTGGTGTTGCTGGGGAGGGGGCAAAGCCCAATGCCACTGAAGAATTTTCTCAGAACAAAGATCTGCTGGGACAAATCGCTGAGCTAACGCGGCAGAATGCTCTCATCAAAGCTCAGTTGAGCAAATTCAAAGGCTGCTCTCAAGAGGCAGGGGACAGCCTGCACCAGCTAGGTACAGTGCAGAATACACACACTGCTCTAGATCCAGCTACCCAGGGACAGGTAAGAATGTCATGGAGAGATAGGAGGCCCAGCCTTCCCTTTCCTCTTGGCTTGCTCACAACCTACGGATGTTGGGAATCTTTGTTCCTCACTTTTGCCTCTTGCTATAATGGAGGGAGGTAGAATAACTAAGGCCTTTGAGCCATCTAGACTCAACACTTGGGAACTGCAGCTGCAGTTTCTTGTATCACTGTGATAAGAAGATAACCTGCTTCTTCATAGGTCAAAATCACTGGTATCTAGGTGCCACCAAGCAAAGAACATACAATAGACTAGGGGTGTGCACACTTCAGTCAGGCCTGTGACTGCAGCACAAGCAAACATGTTTGTGCTACCTCTTGTCAGTGTG